TTTATATACTTTGCTCTTTTCCAACATTAAGTGCGACTGCCCAGGCTGTGTTATACGGGGTTTAGCCAAACGCTGCATTAGAAAGAGGCAAATGAAAAGGTACAATGAAGTTACTAAATGGGTTTGTCCCATCCCTGGCCCATTGTCCCGCCGGGCCGGTTACGTCGCTGAGGTGGCAGTGGAACGTGGCTGCACTCTGGGAGCCCTGGGCCGGGTGGGGTGGGACCTCAACTTAGGGGAAACTTTGGAGGAGCCCGGAGTTTGCCAGTCCTGCGAGAACAAAAGGATGGTCAGGTTCTGGGCCAGGCCTGTCCGGACCCCCACTCCCTAGTCCAGCGGGCTCTACCAACGCTCTCCACTTCTCTCCAGGGAAAAGAGATGCGGCAGCCGCCCCCAGTCAGCGCTCCCTCTCCAGGAAGACCGCCTGGCATTAGGTCTCCCGCGGATCGGCTCTGGGAAGCTAAGGGCCCTGACTGTATTTCTGCCTCCTGTGCCTTTTTGCCTTTTGCAGGTGAGAAACCTTTCAAATGTGAATTTGAAGGCTGTGACAGACGCTTTGCCAACAGCAGCGACCGCAAGAAGCACATGCATGTGCACACCTCGGACAAGCCCTACATCTGCAAAGTGTGCGACAAGTCCTACACTCACCCGAGCTCCCTGCGCAAACACATGAAGGTAATTACCTCTTTATTAGCGGTCGGCGGTTTGTAAACACTCGGCCCGACACCGGGCCTCGGAACACAAACGCCCCCGCTGCCAACCCTCTATCCACGTTAAATCCGCTTTGCTCCAGCAGTGACACCTTGAACCCATTTGGGGGACCCGGAGTTGGGGCGGGGGAGAAGAGTTGGGAGAAGGAGGGAGCAGAGTTGGTCGTTCACTGGAAGCTCTAGCCGAGCTCGCCAGGGCTTGGAGGCTGTGCGCTGGCTGCCTGTTCCCCGCTCAGCCCGCGGTGGGAATGGAGTGGCCGCGCAGAACCCGGGGTGGGTGATTCGTTCTCTCTTCGGATTGCAATAAAACAATAGGGGCGAGGAGCGCGGTCTGGTTCCCTCACACGTGTCTGAGGCTTCCCCGCGCCCAGGGCCCCTGGGCCACCCTTCTCTATACAGGCTTTCCCAGGCGAGCCGGGCTTGCTGAAACCTGGGCCAGTACATCTCCTAGGGCCCCACAGAGCAACTGCTTACCCAGTCCATCCGCGGAGAAAGCATTTTTGAAGTAGCACCCCGAAAACAAAGTGCTTTCTCTCTTTTCCGTAATGCCAGTCTTAGGACGGAAACTGGTTTCTGGTGAACCTGTTTGGGTTTTCTAGACATCGATAATATGGACTTTTTTTTAAAAAAAGAAAGCAGCATTTCTCTTGGAAATGGGTCATTGGGCGATTTTGCTCTTACAGTGCTCGAATTCTGCTCTTGTTTTTGCTTGCACATTGCCAGTTGGAATTATATTCATTATAATATATATACATGTTAATTTTAGGTTCATGAATCTGAAGGGTCAGATTCCTCCCCTGCTGCCAGTTCAGGCTATGAATCTTCCACTCCACCCGCTATAGCTTCTGCAAACAGTAAAGATACCACTAAAACCCCTTCTGCAGTTCAAACTAGCACCAGCCACAACCCTGGACTTCCTCCCAATTTTAACGAATGGTACGTCTGAGGACAAACACAAACCCTGTTAACCATAGAATGGACCAAATGGCATTTTAAAAAGAAAAGTGAGACCAATCAGATGGAAATGGAGTTTTAAGGCAAGAGGCCATATAGGGCTACATCTTGTTACTTGCAATTGTCCAGGAAGGTTTGGGGCAAGATCCAAAGTAGCCATGCCCTTTTCTCAGGATAGAAAATATGTTTTGGCATTCGAAGGATTTTTTCGATCAAATCCGGTCACTGCTTTTTCCTCCCCTTCCTCTTGCTCTCTCTGCACATCCCACGTCTAAACTCCTTCAATTCGTTTTAACACTTGTCCTGTTTCTTGAGAGGAAGTTATAGAAGGCTTGGTGGTGGTGGTGATGTAAAACTGATGAAAATTCTTCTTCGCCTTAGTGGTGATTGTTTAAACTCTCACAGTCTTAAACCGTGCCAAAGTCCTGTTATGTCTTGAACTTTTCCTCGAAACATTACACTTGTGAATGTATCTTTGTCTAATGGGGTCGAAACTGTTGTTCAGTATTTTTTCAGGCTGAGGACGTGATGTTACTCTACACAGATTGTGACGTTTAGTATACGGTGGCCTTTTGTAATCACTTTTTTTTTGTAAATACATACCCATTGATGCCATATTTATCGTTTGTAATTTAATTATTGCTACAAGTGCCGGGAACTGAACAATATTTATGGATAAATGATTTCTAACAAATTCTGTACAGCTTTTGATTATAACTGCTTTAGCATTAAAAATTTATTGTTTTGAAAGAACTCAATTTACACTTTTTGAACCACTGACTCCTTTCTCTTGTTTTGTAACAGCCTCCTCCTACAAAGAGGAGACCTGAGCAAATTAAACCTTGTTTGTTGGTATTTATAACTCACTCAGATCCCTTTTTTAATTGTTAAATTATTTTTCTATTGCAGTATAGATTCCTTACAGTGTCAGTTTCCATCTGGGAAGACCTCCTTCCTTTATCTCTAGCTCAGATGGTTGTTTAACTGCGAGTTTAAATGTTTGTCCTGGATTTTCGGCATGCAAATCAAATAATACTGATCAATTCAGTTAGTGGCCATGACATCTCAATCTTGTACTTCAAAGACTGAGAAGCTGGATTTAATCATCCCTGCCCTACATATATAAACATAAGGTAACCTAATGAGTTTTATGTCCCTTAGTTCTTTATTACCTTACATACAAATGAAAACTGTGGCAGGATGCATGTCTGTCTGTTCTACCTAGGGATCACCCATATACTTATGTATGTTTGTATCTATGACTTATCCAATCTGCCTATCAGATCGGTCTAGCTATCTATATATTCAAAGGATAGCTTATGTCTGGAACAGTGGTGATGAGAAAGGCCAGTTGAGCAGTGCTTACTTAAGGTTAAAGTGCTTCTTAAAAGAACCATAGTCCCTTCACAATTTTGGAAGGCAAAGGATGATTTGTTTGCTGTATATAGTTCGATTCATAATTATCACGATTATTCATAACATTTATATAGCGGTGTAATAACTGCAACAGTTCTGAGACGATGCTGTGGAAAGAAAAACCATTTGGAAAATGTGTATTTTTAAAGTTCACGATTTGTAGGCAAAGATGTTAAGAGCATTGTTTCCATTAAAATCAGTAACAATGAAAAATGGTTGTTTGCTTTGATAAAATGTTAACAATCCATTTAATCTTCAGTGAAGCAACTCTTTGTACAAACAGTTCTTTTTACAATGGTTATGTGGAAAAGAAAAAGATTACTATTTTGGGGGGTTGGACTGGGTAGAGTATTGAGACCTTTTTTATTAGGGTGCTGTTTATTATGGAGAGCCCATCTCTGCATGAATAACAGAAAAGTGGAGATAATGAGTAAAGTATTTAGAAATGTAACGAATAGGCTTAAGTGCTCCTTTTTAAGGGGCAGTGCTCTAGGGTTTTTGGTGGTGGTCAATTTGGTATTATATATAATCATTTCCAATTCTAGAATTTTGTTTGTTGTTCTTTTTGAAAAATAAAGTCTTGGCACATCTTATTTATGTTAAAACATTTTTGTATTTAGTGCCTTTTTTTTTTTTGCCATGTTTCAATAAATCATCCTAGAATCAAAATGCTTTAGAGAACTTATGATGATTAAGAAAAACTTTGATTCCCTGGATACAGTTGAAGCAATCTATTTAAAATTATCTACTGATCATTGTCAACAATTAATTATTGACAGTTTCTAATTTCAAATTGCTTTGGAGGCAATTTTTTGTTGGTGGAGAATGGAGTCTTTGGCACTTTCCTCCACCAGTGTCCCAACTTGAATGGCATGAAGAGAGACTGGGATGACTACATGTGATGAGCAGGTAACCTGGTCAGTCTACCACTCCCAACCCAGACATTTTAACCTTGACCTTGACATTGTGGGTGCTGGGCCAGATTCCTATTTCAGGGCTTCTCTTTCAACTTCAAACCAGAGAGCATTTTAAGTACTCAGCAAGTTTTCAGAAAGTGTGTATTCATAAGATTGGCTCCAAACGTGTTCCATTGTTAAGTCTAAATTGTGTGTTTTTCTTCTCAAGTATACAACCACTTTAGTTTACTGTTTTCTTCATGAGGTCCCTCCCTTGCTCCTAGACTAACCACCTAAACTTAAATGGAAATAGAGCAATGGCTGGATGCAAGATTCACTCAGAAACTTGCTTTTCCCTCCAATTAAATATACTAAATATCTCCTTAGGAAACAAATAAGAGTTTGATCTTAGTGTCTTGAAGTTATTCTACATAACAGTCTTACAAGAAAGCATTGTGAGTGTCATAAGAGGGGAAGATGCTGATTAATAACAATGATTTAGGAGGATATAAAAGCTCTGCCCCTCTCATTTGGATGTTGTATCAGATTTCCCAAAATTATGTCCACTGGCCTTGTCGTCTGGAGCAAAGAAAACTATTTTGATAGAAAACATTTCTCGGATTTCCTTCCTATAATGTCTCTGGGAGAGAACATTTACATTCTTGAATTTTCAGTGAATATTCTTAGAGAATTAAGCACCCCTCCTTCCAAAACAGCAAAAACTCCTAAGTGCTCAAGCCTGGAAACCCTGGCTAGGTTCTCAGTAATCTTCATGGTGTTTTCTTTCTTGCACCTGGTAAAACCTTTGTTAGAAGGCCATTCTCTTTTTCAAAGTAGGTGATTTAGCACAAGCAGATTCCCTCCCTTAGTGGGAAAGGGGATGCGGCTATTTCCACGCAAGACAGAAATCTGGCCTTCATCCCCTTCGGAAGGTTAAAGATCAGGTTCCAGGCTAAACAGGACATTCGGTCTCAGCAACACGAAGAGCAGGGACCTTTGCTCACAAAGCCTCCCAGAAAAGTTGGTATGTTCGGGACTTCCTTGCCCCTCCCCCTTCTCCAAGCCTGCTGTCTCTGCTTGTTGTCCCGGACTCCCTTTCCCTTGTCTCCGAACCCCCGCCACCCCCCAAAACAACCACAACAACAAACGATTCAAGCTAAGGGTCCCTAAATACATAAGTTTCTGAAAGAATCACCACCGCGTGCCTATGCCCTGAAGAGCAGGTTCCCTTCTGACACCTAGACTGGTTTTCTCCCAGGCAACTGGCCCTCGGGGCTGAGTTACCAGTGGGGCACTGGCCTAGGGCCAGGCCAGAGCTTTCCGAAGTCGAAGTCGGAGCTCCTGCCTGGCTGTGCTCTGGTCTCCCGTCCGGATGCCCAAGGTCCCTGTCCACACATCAAGTTCCTCCAGTCCCTGTCCGGGTTCGGGCCGTGGGGGCGGGGGGCTCATTTCCTAGGGTCAATTCTCTCGCGGTCTGTGCCCGCTGACCCTTTGACCTCCACCTACAGGGCCCTTGGCGGCCGTAAGCTGGCGGTCGCCCGGGCTCCGAGGACGCTTCGCGCCCCATCGCCTCCCGGCCTCATTAGGCGGGCCGGGCTGTAAAGCAG